TCATTATCATAAATAATATATTATCACTATCATTATCATAAATAATATATTATCACTATCATTATCATAAATAATATATTATCACTATCATTATCATAAATAATATATTATCACTATCATTATCATAAATAATATATTATCACTATCATTATCATAAATAATATATTATCACTATCATTATCATAAATAATATATTATCACCATCATTATCATAAATAATATATTATCACTATCAATATCATAAATAATATATTATCACTATCATTATCATAAATAATATATTATCACTATCATTATCATAAATAATATATTATCACCATCATTATCATAAATAATATATCATCACCATCATTATCATAAATAATATATTATCACTATCATTATCATAAATAATATATTATCACTATCATTATCATAAACAATATATTATCACTATCATTATCATAAACAATATATTATCACTATCATTATCATATAGTTTATTACAATCACTGCCAAATTTGCCTTTTTCTTTAATTTATAATAAATTTTACAATTAATTTTTAATCATTAAATATGCAATGCAATAATAACTTTATATGATAATCATATTCATATCACTATTATCCTTTTATCATCATTATGCCAAGTAATAACGACAATAATAACAACATCAATTATTACTATTACTATTTTCAATAATCATTAAAAAAACTTCTTTCATATACTTTTCTCTTTCATCGCTTCTTTTTCAAAATTAAAACCAGTTTTGAATAAATTTAGACAAATCAATAAATTTATTCCAAAAAGAAGAAAATGTGCACAAAAAAAAAAAATACTTTTATAGTATTAATTAAATTATTGAACAATAAATTTTGTTGGCTAATAAAATATAAAATTCTATAGTTACTTGATAATAATTATTTTCTCACAATAATTTTAAACTATCATAATAAAATTTTGTCATTATACAATTTTATTTTATTAAAAAGATAAATTTGCAGCATATTTTTTATATATAAAAAAAAAATTCCTTTTTTGGTTTGAAAAAAAACTAATAATTTATTTATTTATTTTTTTATTATCACAAATAAGCTAAAATGAAAACTTGGATTAAGCAACTGAATTAAGCAAATCTATAAAGAAATTATTAAATTTAAATTAAGTAGAAAAATTATTATATTAATATTGTAATCAGAAATTTGAAGTGTTAAATGAATAGCAATTCATTAATTTGACTTCAAAAAATATTGTTCTGAAAACATTAAAATGACTCTACAAAATATTACATTCAAAAAAGATAATTAAAACAAATAAAAAAAAAAGCGAAATTCCAAATTTTCAAATTGAATTTACTTTTTCTAAAAAATGATTATTATTTAATAATTTTTAATGAATTGGACAAATTCATTAAATGCAATAACAATTACTTAATTAATGGTCACAATCTGTCGTTCATAATTCAATTCAAAAAATGAGAAAAAAACCTTTTTTTTTTTCATTTTATAAATTTTAATTTTGAGTGGAACAAACTTCCTGTTTATCACAAAAAAAAAGTGCAAAATCTTAAAATTAAAATTTTGTTACTTTGATTTGACATAATGTATTGGTAAAAAAGGTTTGACAAAATTAAATCAAATTCTTTTTTTTTTTTCTTTCAAATGCAATAAAATAAAATCAACAACAAATTGAAGAATTCAAAAAAAAAAAAAGTAGAAATGTTTAATATTATTTAGATTGAAATTAGAAAAATTTTTTAAATTTGTTTTTATAGATATGAATGAATGGAAATAAATTATGAATTTTTATCTAATATAAGTATGAATGATATTTAAAATATTACTTTTTTTTTTTCTTCAAATTTGCTTCATTCATTCTGTATTTAATTAATTTTTTGAAATATTTTCATATATTTATTGATCGATTTCTTTTTTCTTTTTGAAATTTACACACATATTTCTGATTTTTATTGAATTTGAAATATTTTTGAAGAAAATTTTAAAATTATTTTAATGTAACTGAAAAATTCATTGTGTTATTGAATTGAATTTCTCAATGTTTTCAATTCTCTAATTCTTAATCCAAGCAAAATCTGGTTTTTATTGATTTTGAAATATTTTTAAAATTCGTTCTCAATTTTGCATTCATCTGACTATGATGCATTTTTTCCTTTCAATTTGAAAAAAAGAAAAAAAAATAAAATTTATGATAAAAGTTGGTTAAAAAAAAAAGGCTATAATAAATATGAAATTGTATTATTTTTGAAAAAAGAAAGAAATGAAAGTTAAACCATAATTTGAATTAAAATTTGAATTGGAAGAAGCAAATTTTTAATGTTTGACAAAGCCAAGATTTTTCGATAATTTCTTCTTTAATTCATACTTTCAATAAATGTTTAAAATTTTTAAATTATAAAGTTTTTTTTTTTTTTGTTAACAAAATGCTTATAACTTTTTCTCCTCATTATACATCCATCATTCTAATTTGTCATTTTAATTTGTTTATTTACATATTTTTATTAAACAATTATTAAAAACAGAATTTAAAAAAAAGGAAAAGAAAAAAACACTTTTTTTTTTTACAATAATTTAAATTATTCACTTCTTTCCACTATTTTTTTCTCATTCATTCTTATTACTAAAATCCAATTAAATTTTTTTACATTTGTTTTTTTTTTTTAATCATCAATTTTCTATTTTTTTTTTTAATTCAAATATGAAAATTTGACATTAATTTAAATAATATTGATGAGTTTTAGTTTTATTCAGATATCAATGAAATGTAAAAAAGTAAAAGAAAAAATTTTTTTCTTTTTATTTTTGAAAAGTTTGCCGATTTGCTGTCAGCAAGTAAACAAATTATATAAAATATGTTGAAAAGTTATAAAATGAGAAAAGAATTCAAAATTCAAACATTGAATATAAAATTTGAAAATGATTGTCATCTTCCCTCTTTAATTATCGGATTATTTCTTTCATTCCTTATCCTTTTTTTTTTTTTTTAAATTCTTTTTTTTTCCTTTTCATTCCTTCATCTTTCTTAATTTATAATTTCAATCAATTTTTCTTTTTCAAAGTTCTTTTAATTTTGAGTATTTAATTTTCAAAACAAAAATAAATGATAAAGAATATATTGAATGAAATGAAATTTTCTTCACTTCCGAAAATGTGCGATAAAAAAAGAAAAAAGAGGAAGTTTATTAAATTTTAAAATTGAGTAAAATGAAAAAAAAAAGAAGATAAAATGAATTGAAATAAAATGATAGAAGAAAAGAAAAAAAAAATTACAAAGATTTATTACAACAATAAAAATATTTGAACTGATTAAATGATTTCATTTATTTTTATTGTATTTTGCTTTTTTAAATAAAATAATTAAATTTGATGAAAGAAATATTTATTTTGCAATAATTTTTAAAATAGTTGCAAAGCAATATATCAGCTATTATTATAAAATATTTTAATTAATTAGAAATATAAATAATAAATTGAGTTAATAATTAATAGCAATAATTGTACTGGTAACATAAAATGAAATAAAAACCATAATTTTAGTAAAATTAATAAAGAAAAAAGTGAAACCAAAACATAACAAAGAAAATTATTTGAAATTTGTCATTTTTTCCCTTCAAATATTTTCATTTTTTCGTTTTTCTTTTGGTAAATTTGATTAATTCCAAAATTTTTTCCTTTTTTAAAAACTCTTTTTCTTCGTTTTTTGCAATTTCACAATTTAAAAAAAAATAAATTTCAGTACTAAGTGAAAGAAAAATGTCTTTAAATATTTAAAGTATCGACTATGATAGCTATATTGGATCAAAAATTTGGAGAAATTTTTCAGATTAATTAAATGAATTTAATCAAAATGATAAAAATATGAGTTCATTATTTGCTCATTTATAATTTCAATTTTTATTTAGTTACAATTACTGACTGGTTATTCATTTTTTTTTAGTTAATAAATTAATTTTATTATTAATTTAAAGAAAATCATAAGTTAATTAGTTTTAATTAAACTGAACAATGAAAAAATGATTTTTCAAAAAATATCCCAGCAAATATTTTTAAATTAATAATTAGTTAATAGTGGAATAATTGTTTTTTTCTTCATTTTCATTTTTTATTATTGGTCCAAAAAATTCATAATTTAACATATACTTGTAATACACTTATAAGAGTAAATTAAAATAATTTTATTTTTCAATTTATTCCACTAAATTATTTTATGGAAAAAAATAGTAAAAGAAAAATTTGGTTAAATACTTTCTTTCTTTTTCATTAAAATTGATGAAATTGTAAATGAAGGAAATTAAAGTCTCTCAAATATTTGCTTGCAAATTTGATAATATCTCTCGATTGATCAGCCGAAATAATCTATGCATAAATTTTAACTGTCAATTAAAATAAGTAACTTTAAAAAGTGGCAAATTTGATGTAAGTCTAAAAAAAATTAAAGACTAATAAATTCAAACTAATTCATTTATTCATATTCGTACACTCCTATTTAATATTTGGCAGTTAAAACAAAAAAAAATTGTTTCTACTAATAATTTAAGCTTTCATATTATATTGGATTGTCCTGCACATAACTTTTGTAAAATTTGAAATTTTTTAAAACCAAAAAAAAAAAAGCAGCAGCCATATTCAAATATCGATTATTTAAATTATTTGCTGTTCCTAACCAAATTTTCATTTAGTACTCCATATGATTTTCATTTATTTTTCAATTTTACAATTTCTAATTATCAAATCTGAGGAAAAAAGTAACAGCTAAATTATAAAACTTAAAAAAAAGAGCATCCTGTTTAATATTTACTATTTAAATTAATCACTAACACTTATCTAGTTTACATTTTATATTTCATATTACATTACTGTGATTTTTATGGTTAAAATTTTTACAAATATATAAGTTTCTGAATTAATTTAAATATATTTTTTTTTTTTTTAGTAAATCATTTTGTGTTTTTTTAAATATTGAAAAAAAAAAGAAAACAAAAACGAAAAATGAAAACAACTTACTGCATAACTGATTTGTCGATTAATAATGAAGCATGGAAATATTGAATATAGCAGCAACAAATATTGTAAATAATAAAATAACGCGAACATTACTGACCATTTAGGTAATTATTGTGACAAATTCTCGATAAAAATTGTTTATCAATGATTTGCCTTGTTTATTCGATGATAATAATAATAGCAACAATAGACTGGACCGCATTATCGAAGATGATAATCTATTTCAGTCATTTTGTTTTGTTTTTTTTTTTTTTAATTTCAAAGTTTCCACATAAAATATATTTATCAAAAAACAAAAAAAAAAAATATCACAATAGAATTTTTTAAATATTAATCGAAAAAATTTTTCAAAAGTAATAAAGATTAAGTAAGTATAGTAATTTGTTTATCTTCGAGTAGTTCAATTTTCAGATCATAATTGTCAGAAATAAAAATAAACAATACAGCAATGAGAAAATACGGAAATATGAATCATTCAAAATGAATAAATAAATGAATGAATGAATGAATGATTGATTGGGTGGATGAACGAATGAGTGAATAAGTGAATGAATGAATGAATGAATGAATGAAATGAATGAAATGATTTTGATGACGTTGACAATAAACTGAACACTAAAAAAAAAGAAGAAGGAAAAAAGAAAAAAAGTGGAAATTCTTACCGGTGATAAATAAATGAATTTTCTTTCCTTCCTTCTTTTCTTCCTTTTTTTTTCTTTTCTTTTCGTTTCTTTCTTTGAAAAGAATTTTTGAAACAGCAAAATTTAGGATATTTATGTATCTGAAGAAGGAAGAAGTGTTGTGAAAGATGGATAGAATGAGCAGTAAAGGATCATTTTGATTTTGATGACACCAATCTTGGCGACAACCAGGATGATGATGACAACAACGACAATGACATAGTTTAAAACCGGCTGGATGTACCACCTCTTACAATCCTAAAATGTTGCAGTGAAATCACGATTAATATTGCTTCTTCATTATTATCAATATCGTCATTATCATTAACATCAATGATAAAAATTTAAATGACAAATATGTGATAGCTAGAGTAGTTGATTTTTTGATAATAAATCAAATCAATTGTAAATTGCAATTATGAAGCTTTTATCAACTTTGTAGTAGACCACCGTAATATTTCTTATAAAATCCAACTATTTATTGCTTAATATAGATGGAAATCATTGTGCTAATTAATAACAATGCATTGTGGTTGCTGAATTGTTATAAATTTTAGACAAAGATTTAATGAAATTTTCAATCATTTAAATTAATTTATACTTTTTTGTAAGATATGGAAAAATGGATGAGTAATAGAAATAAATTGAATGGCTTTCAGTCTAATCACTTATTCATACTTAATCATCTAATCAAATAATAATGATAGTGAAAATAATTATGATGAGAATTTGATCAAACTAAAGAAATTTATAAAAACAAATTGAATCAGTTTTTAAAAATTATGTCATTTGCTGCCACTTGAACTTATTTTTACAATGCCTTAATTTATCATATAATTGCATATTAACTAATTAATTGATCAAGTAATAGTAATTACAATTATAATCACAAACTAACTTTGCTTTAAACTACTATCTTAAAATTTAATTGGAATTACTTTAGCAATATTTGTTACTCTAACGACTAAAGTAATAATTTTTTGTTAATGTTAGATACGAAATCAGTTTTTTGTCTTAATTACAAGTTTCACTTATCAATTTGTTATAAGTGAAATTTGGCATAATTATATTTTCAATGCTTGAATATTACTTTCTGTACAAATAATTACCAATGTGTTCCATATATAAATAGTTACCGTATTCCAACACATGAGGCTTACTGTATTTTACCGTATCGAATGATAGATTTATGAAGTCATATTGTGCAAAATTGTTATTTGATGAAAATAGAAATAATATAAGGAAAGTGAGGTTGAATAGAAATAAAAAATTGAATAGAAATAAAAAAAATGAACCTAAGATGCAAAATTGAGAATTTGATACAGACCTAAATAACAAAATAAATTATAAAATATACAAATTAATTCCATCAGCAAAATATATTTTAAAAGAAGATTACAAATAAAGTTATTAGACTAATAACTAATTTATGTTCAGTAGCGAATCAACATAATATCTGGATTTTAGAAAGAAAAAAACTTAAAAAAACATGGATGAACAATTTTTTTTTTCATACTTATCAATATATCATAATATTGAAGTAAATCAGTTATGGATGGTAGAGCATTAACCTAAAATCAAAAATAAATTTCGAAGACTTTAATATAAATTAATCAATTTTGAGATAACATACATTTATATACAGCAATGAATCCCGTTTACATGGTGAGATAAAACAAAATGGGTGCTTGTCATTCACATTAAATTTTTTCATCCATCAAAATCACCAAAATTTCAGCATACTATAAAAATCTAATTTCAGTTAAGTTTTTTTTTTTTTTTAATCTTTGAAATATCTGAAACTGTCCTTCCATATCGTTTGCTTAAAGGTGCTAGAATATAACATTTTAATCTATTTATATTGTCTTATTTCAAAGCACTCATTGCCAATTCTCCACAAAAAATTCCGTAAAACTTTATGTGCATATTTTACTAAAAGTAGAAGATCAAAATTATAGAAATACAATTAATTAATGCTTATTAATTAGTTTCAGGAATCAAAAATTTAGATTTAAATTTATTTTTCTAATTTTTATGAAATCCGAGACTTATTTTTTGCATAAATAGATATAACATTGCTATTCAATTCTTTCTGAAAATACTTCATATCTTATGACAATAATATGAGCTAAATCCTTTTTGTAAATTTAACAAATTTACAATAATACAATTATTTTTGCTAAAACAAATTTAAATTTACAGAAAATTATTTTGCTAAAACTGTTTTTGCACTGAATTTTCCGTCAAATTTGGTAAATTTATGGCATGATTAAAAAATGGTAATATATAGAATAGACAAGAAGAAAGAGAAACAGATTAATTAAAATTATAAATATCATCAAAAAAAAAAAAGAAAAAGTAATAACAGTGAAGAAAACATAATAATTCAGATCTGATGATATACACTGATCGCTGATAGTATGCAATAAAAAATTTATAATTTAAGTTTTTGAAATTCAAAGATTTAATATTATGATATAACAAAAGCCAAGCTTCAAAATCTTCTGCATCATAATTTAAAAGACAATCTAAAGGATAAATTTTGATTAAGGTCAAATTAATTCCCAGGAAAATTCCATTATCGGTCAACGGGAAAAGACAATTTGAGTAACACCATTATTTCGTATTTTCTCGAAACGAAAATATCCATTGCACAGGAGGTGGTATCATTTTCTAATTTAATCAACAAATTAAAAGCTTTTTTTCGAATTTATCAAATAAAAAAAAAAAAAAAACTAACCAGAATCATCTTGAATTATTTCAGATTAAAAGTTTAAATGCATATATATATATTATATAGTTAATAATTTAAGGTTCATTCTTTTCAAATTTAGGAAATGCTTTTTTTTGGAAAATAAAAAAGGATAAATCTTTAAATTATATTAGCTGCATACATAGAAAATACTAAAGTTAAGTTAATAAATAAACAAAAAAAAAGATAGCATTATAAAAATATAGAAAAAATATTTTTAGTTTATGCTTATTTAGTAAAAATTAGGTGCTCACAAGCATTAGCTTTAGCTTAATTGTATAAATGAATGAAAAAAAAAAAAGTAAAAATAAAATTATAAACAAATCGTATTTTATGCTAACATATTTATTGCTATATATAAGCAGTTGCTGAGATGGCTATTAGCTTTAAATGTGCACTTTTAGCAGAAATTGATAAAAATAAACGATTCAATCCAATATTTCTTGTCCATATCATTCGTAGAAAGCGAACCATGCGTTTACATCCGTTCTTATTTTTTCTCTCTCTTTTTTTTTTATTTTTTATTGAACAATTTTTATCAAATTTACAAATTTGATATGAACAGTTGAAAAAATAAAAAGGAAATAATCATTTTATTAAGTGAAATTTGAATGTCATTTGCATATTTTTGTCAAATTATTATAAAGAGTAAATTGAAAGATTTTTTTGTGTTTGTTTTCCTAGCATTTCTTTTTTTTTTTATAACGCCTTCATGTGGATTTAATATTTTTATTAATTATGCTATGTTGGTCAAGCTTGAACATTTAGAAATTTATCATTTTCTTGTCAATTCATTTACTAGTTTAATCTTTTTCTTATCAAGTTTACCACCATAAATAGATGTCAACAAATAAATAATTGCATTTTTTCGTTGATTTGAAATATTGCAAAAATATTAAATTGTGAAATTCAAAATGCAAAATAATAAAACAAATGAATTTTTTTAAAAATTTAGTAGGATGGAGAATATGCAATTTTTCATTTCAAAACAAATTTCCTAAATTTCTTAATTTGATTCATTAACTGTTTTTTTTTTTTTTTTTTAATTTAAGTGCATATGCATATATTTGAAAGCAAAGGTTTTCATCGATATTTAACACTTAATTTGATACTTGAAAATGCGAATTAACGCGATAAAGTAAAATGAGAGAGAAAGAAGGGAAAGAGAAGTGGAAGAGAGAAGGAAAATAGGTAAAAGCGATTAATCGCACATATTATGGAATTCAATTGTCGCAAATTTTTCATTCAACAAAAGAGAAAATGGGATGCATTCCGTGTAACAAAACTTTTACAAACATTATTTATTTGAGAAAAAAGAATATTTGCATGTAAGCAGCAAATTTACTCAGAACGCTGCGTATACGTGCAAACATCCTATTTACATGCAGACATCATATTTACATGCTAACACCATACTTACGTGCAGACACTTACGTGCAGACATCATATTTACATGCTAACACCATACTTACGTGCAGACATCATATTTACATGCTAACACCATACTTACGTGCAGACATCATATTTACATGCTAACACCATACTTACGTGCAGACATCATATTTACATGCTAACACCATACTTACGTGCAGACATCGTATTTACATGCTAACACCATACTTACGTGCAGACATCATATTTACATGCTAACACCATAC